GTCCCCGTAATTTAAAAGGCTTAAAAACACAAAGTTTTCTGTGAGGGGTAGGTTTAGGGGTAGGGTTGGTGTAGGGCAATAGAATATACAGTTTGTACAGTATAAAAACCATTACGTCTATGGAGTGTCCTCGTAAACCACATATACCAACATGTGTGTGTGTGTGTGTATATATACAGTGGGGAAAAAAGTATTTAGTCAGCCACCAATTGTGCAAGTTCTCCCACTTAAAAAGATGAGAGAGGCCTGTAATTTTCATCATAGGTATACCTCAACTATGAGAGACAAAATGAGAAAAAAAAATCCAGAAAATCACATTGTAGGATTTTTAAAGAATTTATTTGCAAATTATGGTGGAAAATAAGTATTGGGTCAATAACAAAATTTAATCTCAATACTTATATATATATATATATATATATATATATATATATGAAGAGTTAATTTGCAAAAACATATAAACTCCATTTTTAACAATTTTCAAAAATCGTGTTTTTTGATCTCAATAAAACTGCAGTTGGGTTATTTTAATTAGGTTAATAAATAACTAAAATACTGCTAATTTTCACAATAAATCATGATAACAATAAAAAACATGATTTTTGAAAATTTAAAAAAAAACAGAGTTATCTGTTTTTGCAAATAATCTCTTCATATATATATATATTTGTATGTATATTTGTATGCATGTGTGTGCAGGTGCAGGAGTTGCCGTTGGTCACAATGAGGTTTCTGATCTCACTGTGTGTGTCTCTACTGCTGCTGATTAATGGTGAGAGCTTTATTTGTCATGTGCTTTACAATGATATTGTATATTCAAATAGAAAGCAGTTATTTTAAATAGTAAAAATATTTCACAATATTACTGCTTTTGCTGTATTTTGGATTAAAAAATGCAGGCTTGGTGAGCAGAAGAGAATTCTTTAAAAAACAAAAGTATTACTGTTCAAAAACGTTTGACTGGTTGTGTGTATGTATATTTGTATGTATATGTGTGCAGGTGCAGGAGTTGCCGTTGGTCACAATGAGGTTTCTGATCTCACTGTGTGTGTCTCTACTGCTGCTGATTAATGGTGAGAGCTTTATTTGTCATGTGCTTTACAATGATATTGTAAGTAGGTGAACATTCAATATTAATTCATTATGTTTATACTGTGTATTTAACAGGTGAAATGATCAATGGACAAACTTCAGGTACATATATATATATTACTTTATCTAATCTTTCCATCCTTAGCTTTATATAAAAAATAAAATAAATTTAATATGAATAATTTTGTGATATCAATATGAAAGGTTCTCACATTTTAGCAATCCAACACACTTTTTTTTTTTTTTTCACTTTTAATTTCATTATTTTTATTGAAACAAGGTTTTATCAGATAAACCAAGCTAAATGTCTTTGGAATTTGTGACATTTATGAAATGAACAAATCCCCAACACTCACTACTTTCATGTTCAGTCCATTTCATGATGCATGCAGCTTCAGCAGACCATCAGTGATTAACATTAGTTATAATCATAATAATAATCGTATCTATGTACTTAATCGTCTACATTGCCAGGACAAAATAGGCTGTATTTTATAAATTACTTACTGAAAAAAACAAATTTCAATGCACTAATTTTTGTTTTGACAAAAAAGTGTTTTAGATAAATATTAATTAAATAAATATTTTCTTCACCTCAAGAAGTTAGGTTAAGGCTTTTGATTGATTGATTAAGACAATTGACTGATTCAGCTGAAAAATGTAATCTGTCCAGATGCCACACATTTGTTTTTCAGTGCGTGTTGTGCTCATAAAATCAGCGACAACATTCCAACTCATCTTTTACAAATAAAATATATGTTGTGCAGATCATAGCACTGATACAGCTGTGCATCTGATTGTGAATGTGATGACACAATGGATTATTCAGCTACACAGAAAAAAAAAAGATGTCACCAGAAATTCAAAAAATAGAATGAAAAGAAATGTACTGTAAATATGCCTGTATTCTCCCTGCTTAAGGGCATTGAACTAAAATATGTCGTTTGATCAGAGTCTGTAAGCGTCAGTGCTGGTAAATGTCATAAAGATATTATGAAATATCTTTTAAAAAATGTTCTTCCTCATTTTTCATACAGACCAATAACTGATGGACAGATAAAATACTAATTTGATGATATATCTTAAGAATGGTTCATAAAAACCGGTTTGATTTGCTCATGATTGTTGTTATTAATCTCTAATGATAAGGCGCTGGGAAGTTTGTTGTCACATTTTTAAAATACAGCAAAAAGAACCCAACTGTATCTTATCCACTGATACTTTAATATTCATTATTCTGTATAATGCGTGCGCTGTAGATCTGTGTTTTATTGGTTTTCTCCCCACTTCCCTCCCTCTAGACTCCCACTTTTCCAAAGCTTTCTTGAGTTTTTATTTTTTATTTTATCTGAGGTATGATTGACCTGTACTAAAACACAGGGGTTTCGTGACACTTTAAGGTTTTTCTTATTCATATTTCACTTTTCAACAAATTCCAGATTAACCCAGGCATTGTGCTGAACACATAAGTCCAAACATTGTGTAAAATTTAACTTTCACTAATGCCGTCCTGTAATTAAAAATTAATATATAAGTTTGTACACATTATTGTGTCACAAACAGCTAATCAAGCATATACAGATCTGTAAATAAATATGGAGAGAATTTGTTCCATTTTGTGTAATGGAATTGTTTGTGAAGTATGTGAAGGTTCAACTACATGACAAAACTTGTTTTTCCTGTGAGTCGAAAGGAATTTACTGTCATTCACACATTGAGAGAATAAGCAGTTCCTGTGTACTGTATGTTCATGTTAACCCTCCTGTTCTGCACAAGAAGAGTTGTTTTATCTGAAGGCAAAAGGCATCTGTTTTTGTTGTCCATAGAAACTTGATACATACGTTGTGGAAATGATCTTTAAACTTTGCCACCCTGTTTGACTGCTCTCTGCTACAACCTGGTTTTCAAAGCAGGAACAGCAAGCCCAAAGAGAGAGTTGATATTAAAAATTTTCTATTTCTTAATACTAGAATTTTTTTAAGCTACAAGTATCTATTTGCTATACTTATTTGTTGGCTACTAGTGCTTATTCTTTAAGTGCTAGTACATATTTAAAAAGATACTAGTACTTATTCATTAGATAATAGTAGCTATTAATGTATGTATTTAATGTATATCTCTACTGTAACATCCACATGAATCTGCCACCAGAGGGCATCATACTCTTGCTACTAATCACAGCCGGATTCAAACATGAGCCCCATTATTCTGTGAGAAATAATGCCAGATTTTTTTTCTCTTTATTTTAAGGTATCCTTGTTACACATGTTACATGTACTTACTATTATAATAACAATTAATTATGCATAATTATATGCAAGTAACCCTAAGCCAAACCCTATATAGAAAGTACATGTAGTTAATCAATATTACTCAGTACTTAAGTGTATAATTACACTGGAACAAAGACACCTTAAAATAAAGTGTAACCCTACTTTATTATATACTAGTACATATTCATTAGATACTAGTACCTATTAAATAAATATATTTATATGTTTCCTTTGTTTATGTAAGAGAGTGTTGCTTTATTATGTAATATTTATAATTCAGATGCAAGCAACATAAGCACTATCACTGCTACTGTCATGCCAGAGACAACCACAACTGAAACCACAGAAACTACAATGGACTTTATGACCAATGTACTGTGTTACAATCAGGAGGATTATTGTTTTGCATGAGCAAATCAGGCCCTTGTGTTTGTGAAATAATTTATAATAATAAAATAAGCTATATAGGCAATAATATTATATAGCTATATGGCCATATTATTTAATAACTGGTAATAGGTACTTAAGCAGTGAAATAATCAATGGACAAACTTTAGGTACAATACATTTTAGCTTTATTTTTTACATCTTTCTCCAGCCTTTGCTGTCCTTTAAAAATGCAAGAATAAAAGAAGTGTAATAGGAATAATTCAGTGAAAGATCCCTGTCTCTTGATATGAAACCTTGAAACTTGATCATATTTTAGCAGTCCTACACGTCACTATTCACATCAGACCCCACTTTCAATTTCATAATTTTTTATTGTATTGAGACAAAATTTTATTAGAAAAACCAAGCATAATGTGTTTATTTATGACATTTATGAAATGCAGAAATCCCAAACAGTTTTGTGTTCAGTACATTTCATGATGCATGCAGATTCAGAAAGTATGTTTTGTTTTTGACAGAAAATGTGTTTTTAGATAACAGGACAAAAATATCTTCAGGCTGCACAACTGACTGATTCAGAGTTAAAATATATATTGCTAAAATATAATCTACTCAGATTGAATGTGCCACACATTTGTTTTTCAGTCTGTGTGGGGCTCATAAAACCAGCTGGAATACACAGGGATAATTTACTGTACAGTTAGTTGGCCATTATGAAAACATAAAGCCCAATAACATACAAATGTTCAGAAGCTAATTTTTGCATCAGAACAGAACAAGAAAAACTCATCAGGCGATGTTTATATCTCAGACCTTATTTCTTATGATTCCGACTTCACATCTCACATCTGTGACTTTCTGTAGTAACTGATCATTTATACACTATATATTAATGTGTTACAATTTAGATGAGAAGATGAATTGTAAGGTACAGTGTTCTCAGTGTGTTCATGTTGTGTTACAAAACACTTTTCTTGCTCATTAGGAGGAATATAGTTCAGGTTTGGGACAGATTTAGTGTTATGATTATGTTTAAGGGTGCGTTATGCTGTAAGATATGAGTCAACAGTGTACGTACAGAACTGCATTACATACAGCTGTGTTTTTAAACATAAGCACAGTGTATCATGTATCTGCACAATAAGTGCACTTTATCTTAATTGCAAATTTAAATTTTAGAAGACTGTATAATGACATTTAATGTAAAGCGGGTCCCAGTATTTTAACAGAACTTTTCCGAACTCCATGACAGTTGCTTTCAGCAGCATCAGCAGTGATCCCTGCTACAACTATGAGTCTCTGGATCGTCCCTGGAGAGCCAACAATGAAAGTGGAGATTACGTTTGTGATGACTCTTTCTCCTGGAATGGCTGGTACCGGTTTTTCTACAATGGAATGAACATCCAGATGCCAGAGACCTGTGTTAGTACATACAGCTGTAACACAGACATCAATCTGTGGCTCAACGGTTCTCACCCTCAGATAGAGGATGGAGTGGTGATCAGAGAGGTCTGTGGCAATTCTTTTTGGGATGAGTGCTGTAATTACAAGACAAACCCCCTCAGAGTGAAAGCGTGTCCAGGAAATTACTATGTCTATGAACTTGTGAATCCACAAATCTGGTGTTCAGGATACTGCACAGGTAATGTGCTTTTTCTCTTCACTCTTTTTTAACGAAGTCTTTCAAAAGTTTTAAAGTCACTTCAGTCATGTCTTGAATGTCCTTCTCTTCAGATGTCAGCACCATTTCACGGCCGATTTCCACCACAAGTCCAAATATAATTACTGGATCCAGCATTACCTCGAGTAAGTAACATTTTAATTAATTCATGTAACCTCTCTCTCTCTCTATGTTTTTGTGTGTGTGTGTGTGTGTGTGTGTGTATGTCAGAGGTGGAAAGTAATTAATTACAGATACTTTCGTTACAGTACTTGAGTACATTTTTCTGTTCTTTTTTTTTGTACTTTCTTGAGTATAATTAAATTTGGTACTTTTACTTGAGTTGAATAAAAATAAAGTATTCAACTTTGTTACATTTATTTTTGATCAAAAGTACAAAAAAGACAAAGGTGCTGATGGAGAAACTGGGCGAGCTGGTGTTTGACGGGCACTGCGCTTCAGGTAATAACAGACAGGTCTGACTCGGGTGCAAAACCAATCAAAACTCATTCGTTCAAACCTGGGGCGTTCAAACTGCGCTTGACTTTGACAGACAATCACTGATGTTAGCATTTTGAATCAGTATCATTAACATTTCAATATTTTAGTGAATGTAAATGAGCTATGCTCTGATTTTAAATTGTAATTTTGACAGCTGCTGATATGGGTCACTTCATTGATATTACCAGAACACTCAGCAGTTTAATTAAATAGAAAACTCGGTTGATAGAAGGACACAGTTATAGGGGTTATGTGCAACAGACTTCCGTATTCTGTTAACCGGTCTCATCGCTTCCGGTTCAAGCGTTTTGCATATGCTTTGTTAAATATGAAGCTGTTTTACTCAAGATGCCTTCAAAGTAGATACAAAGATGATCATAACCAATGTCCATCACATATGTGGATTGATATCTAAAAGATATTTATTTTTATTCTTTTCACTAACATTTAGATATAAAAATGGAATAAAACGTCAACAATGAAAACAGCTAGCTAGTTTAACTGAGCTTAGTTTACCTTAATCGTCCGTAGATATCGCCATTATTTAATACGGCTGTTAACACGTTCTCTGACAAGCAGAAGCGATGAGACCTATTTTCTGGGTTTGGTCATGTGACATTCGACATATACCCTATTTCATGGACAGAGCAAGAACAGGTAGGTAAGTTAAGCAGGTAAGTGTCTTAAAGGGGTCATATGATGCTGCTAAAAAGAACATTATTTTGTGTATTTGGTGTAATGAAATGTGTTTAAAGTTTTAAAGTTAAAAAAACACATTATTTTCCACATACTGTACTTTATTTTTTCTCCTCTATGCCCCGCCTTTTTGAAACGCGTCGATTTTTACAAAGCTCATCGGTCTGAAAAAGCGAGGTGTGCTGTGATTGGCCAGCTATCCAGTGTGTTGTGATTGGCCGAATACCTCAAGCGTGTGACGGAAATGTTACACCCCTCACCATACTGTTGATGCCGTGTCAGGCCGGAGCGATGACACAAAAACATTAAAACCCATTATAAACGAGGCATTTGTTGCATCCAGTGGGGACATAATTACTGATTATAATGACTTATACTGTCTTTTTACACGTTGCATTGCATCGCGTAAACATAAAAACCTGTCTGCATTTGTGATCAGAGAAATGACAAACAACAAGCACTACTCTACACTGCCCAAAACTCGCGTTTGAATCATCAGTGGCAAATCCTTTAAATGAAAACGTACTTACAGACTGTGAGTCAGAACTGCCGGCATTTTAGTCTAACATTACTCTCCCAGGATCAGTAAACAGTCCTCCATAAAATGTGCTGCACACATCTGGATATTTGGGTTGAACTGTTCTGGAACAGTGTTGTAAATACAACTTAACCACTGATTTCTAGTCCTGTCCTCTTTTGGAAGACCAAACAAAGTAGTTTCGCTTTCACAATGAAAAACACGGCGGCCTAGCGTGAGTGGAAGCCGCGGCTTAGCGTGAGCTGAGGCCGGGCTAGCGTGAGTGGAAGCCGCGGCTTAGCGTGAGTTGAGGCCGGGCTAGAGTGAGCAGAGGCGGCGGGGACGAGAATGGCGCGCCCGGCGGATCCGACGAAGGAGCGGCAACCACATGTGACGACCCCGGGCTGGACTCCGCTTCGTCCACAGTGAAAACCGATCCGGCGATCCACAGCACGAAGTTGATGTATTTCCTCATCGACCAGCACGGATCAGCTCCAGGCATGACGAAGCGGATATCGTCCTCTTTTGGAAGACCAAACAAAGTAGTTTCGCTTTAATAACGAAGCACACAGCATCTTCACAACATGGCGGCAGCGGCAACAATACTACAGCGAGAATAAAAGCTATGCCTTCTTTCTTTGCGTGAACATTTGGGCGGCGATATGCAAATCTTCCCACATAGTGAGGTAGATATGTTGGGTTGTGTTAGAACGAGCCGTTTTAGGTAGGTGTGGTTAACTCTTAACTTTTCTAAAGAATATCTCTTTGGATTTGAGACTTTAGTCTTTGCAACTTCTTTATGCACCAAGAGCTTGTAACACTCCAAAGAGAAAGGAAAAAATTGAAATCGCATCATATGACCCCTTAAAGTGCATGCAAGCTTGCCCTCTTTAACAGTGCAGTTAAACTATATGTATAAAGTATGAAGCTGAAATAACCTCAACATTAACAACAACATTGAAATAAGAGCGCATGCATTTTTATGTGCATCTGACTGACAGATAAACTACAATTTATCTGACAATCAGATGCACATAAGTACTATAGCAACGGTGGACTCCAGGCACATTTTCGGTATAGAAAGAAAAAAGTGCTTTTTATTTAACATGTTAACCTTTACCTAGGCTTGGGAATCAAAAATTGCTTCCAATTCTGGAATCGCATACTTAAGAATCGGATACTTGTTATAAAATTTTAATTTCGATTTCTTTGTGTGCATTTTAATATAACTTCAAACCATTCAAGTCAAGAAGACTCACACTATATCCAAGACGTGCGCACAGAAAGCCGCCTCTCATACTGCGTGATACTGAGCTGAGTCCTCTTTTATTGCCCTGTCCAAATACCCACACTTGTGGTCTTGGCCACTTGAGAGTGCGTGCACGCGACAGGAAGTAAGTGAGCAAGACTGTACCATGTCTTAGAAACGCCAAAGCGCAGTGCCCTTAACGCACACTAAATCCACTAAATCAATTCCTTCTGCCATCATCTATAATAACATTAGTCAAACAAAAGACAGAAAATTCACTCGCTGTTCTTGACTGAATAACTTTTGTAACTATATTTGAAATTTATATTTATTACAGTTTCTGCGCCTGATTACATGAAAATCTTAAAACACTGTTTATTTCAATCGTTAATGAATTAATTTGTTTTTATTTGTTTATTTGTTCTTTTTGTGTTTTCTTGTATTTAATAATAATAATAATGCTTGAAATTTAGATTAGTTAGACTAGTTGTTTTTTGCTATGTTATTTTTAAACCAGGCAAAAGTTCCTTGTGTAAGTGTTCTTTAGCCTGTAGATTTTCGTTCAGTATTCAGCTACAATTAAATGTTCTGCAATAAGACTTAGAATAAATGTGGATTATATATATATATATATATATATATATATATATATATATATATATATATATATAAACGATGCCCAACCTTACACATACCCCACATTGTTTTTTACTGGCAATTGAATTTGTCAATTACATGACAATTTATGAAGTTAATATCATGTTTTGGTCCAAAATTACTATATAACATCAGTCATGTTTGAGATAACTTGTGTCTGTGGTTCCGTGTTGCTTCTTATCACAGAATGAGACAGAAAAGATATTATTATTATTATTATAAAATTATATACTGTGATACAGGTTATGTCGGTTAGCATTGCATTATACCAGAGGTGTAAAGAGTACCTAAAAACCATACTTAAGTAAAAGTACAGATACCTTACAGTGAAAATGACTCCACTACACGTTACAAGTCACCAATTCCAAAACAACTTGAGTAAAAG